TGCCGGCCGACAGTCTGACGTTCGGGAAAGCTCAGGTAACTCTCTATCCTCTTTTTTGTCTTTATTCCTACTTTTTGTGATAACTTCAGTTTTGGGATGCTCATTGGCAAAAATTTCTCACTGGTTCCACTGATTTTTCAACAGCAGGGAGGAATTCTCAAAACAATAGCGCGCTGTAGTTGACTTCGGGTTTGAGAGGAATTGTACGCGGTTTGTAAACACCTCCTTGTCATTGCTGGTGTTGGCCTTACGTCCTTCCATCTTTTAGTCCTCAAAAATGGAAGAAGCTGTGAAAATTGATGCTGCTAGTGACGTCATAAAGCGCACCCAGAAGTTCAGACTGGATGGCTTTCTATTTCGGCTTGTATTCTTCTCTGACATAGCACCTAGAATTTTTTATATTGTTACCCGAAGGGGCGGAAGTGGTGTAGTGGCAAGTGGCACGCTTACCACGCGAGCGGTCCGGGGATCAAATCCTGGGTCGTGAGTCGCCCGGGCCAACCAAGCCTTCCATCCCTCCGGGGTCGGTTAATTGGTACCAGACTTGTCTGGGAGGATAAAAACACTGACTTGTACATCGGCTGGCCCCCGCAAGTCATTGTATAGGCCACATCGCATTCAAACGCCACTACGAATGTACAAATGGAAGTAGAATGCGTGCCGCATCCCAAAAAGGGATTGATCAACGGCAAATGCTTTATCCTTTATCCTTTATGTAACCCGAAATTTGAGAGCTACTACTCAAGGGTGATGCAGCTCAAAGGGTTAGCAATGCGATGCCAAGCACCGATGGTATTCCCCTTGTGGATTCACGGTCTGCCTCGTCAATCTACATCCATCGATCATTTGAATGCACTTCTAAAGCAAACACCGACCATGGCACAAAGTGCATCGAGTGAGCACCTCTTCCCCATCCGCCAGCTCAGTTTATTCGCGCTTCACACGGGTCGCACAAGGGAATTCTTCTTAATATCTGGACAGAGCCGCATGAGATCGCCTTCCTCACGCGCCATTCATATAGAGGGAGTAGCTCTCGCAGGAGAGTTGTTGCGGAACCTAATGACATACGATTCTACCCAACTGTCATAACCAGGCATATTAGCCGCTCGTGCTGTGCTAAGCTAAAGTGTCATTCGAGTATAGAACCTCGCTGGGCTCCTTTAGCCGAGATGTCCTTAATCATGCTTTGTGAACAAGAGAAGGGAAACGAAGACGCAACTCACTACGAGACTACACTTGTAGCGAAATGTAAAATTGAATAAAGGTTGCATTCTGAGAAGAAAGGATTGTCGGAGTCTATTGGAGTACTTGTTGAAAAAGTTGGCGGTGATCAAAGATGAACGGAGAAAGCCGAAGAGTTGCTTTGAGAATGGCGCTGCATATATTGCAAGTTTTCAACGATACTCAATCAAGGGACGGGGTGGGATAGAAATGCAGAAGTTGGGGGGGGTCGCAATAAGCGTTGGACCCTACGGTGAGGGTTGTATTGGGAGATTGAAAGTTCATTATCTAATCCTAACGGCGGCACTGAAAATCATGCTCGCATTCTCAGCGTTCGGCCTCCGGCATTCTGAATCTCAAACTTATTTCATACTTTATTCCAATTTTTTAATATTTTGTTTTCATTTTTATATTTCAACTTATAATTTTTACCTTTCAATATCAATATATTTCAATTCACGTGTCCACATACGTTTTCATATGCGGTACCCCGCCACCACCTTTCTCTTCTCTCACTGCTAGCCATAAATCACTTGAGGGAGACTTTTGCAGTCTTCCTATTCATCGTTTCGCTTCCCAAACTAGACTAGTAAGTCCTTCTCTGCCTCTGTGTAGACAGATTCTGTATTGGAAAGCAGAACTGAAGGACAAGTAGATCGTAAGGCTGCAACAGTCTTTGGTCTCGTTTCGGTCCGACCACTCATTTTTCCACGGGTTAGTGTTAGGTAAACTGCGTGACAGGTTCGGCGTTCTTTGTTTTCGAAATACGGAAGACACAACACCGTCCTGCTTTTTGCTGATGACGGAAGCTCGGTACTGCAATCTTCTTCTTCCTGCGGCTACTTTGGCACTGATTTTCTAGTGGCTCATAGAAGTAGTTAACATGCGCTCCCTTACAACCCTTAATGTACAACACAAGAATCAGAAGCGCTCCATGCCACTTATAACGTCCCGACAATTTTTGCACGGAATTCTTATCATGAATGTCAGTTGTGATCTACTTGAGGAAGAAAGTATAAAGTTCTGCCAAAAGGAGATTCCATTTCCCGAAGGGAACAATTCCTTACAAAAACTCATACTCTAGGCGTGCGAAGGTACTCAAGGGAACAAAAGGAATGCATAATGATAGTCGCCGCCAGCGGGGCAATCAGGGTCAACCGTCACGTTCGAACATTTTCGGGATTTTTGCGACCCCCTAGCTCCCGCTCTCGGGGTCCAGTTGCGACCCCCTGTTTTTGTTAATAAGAGTGCTAGACATGAATCCGTTGCGCCAGAAAGCGTCTGCGCCGCCGCCGCAGAAAGCGTCTGCGTTGCGGCGTCAGCCTTGGAGCGCGGCAGGTATCACCCGGGCGCTGGAAGAACGGGACGCGGCGAAGAAAAAATTTTAGAGGGGAATAACTTTCTTGGGACGTACTTTTTTGACTTGTTGAGGTAGATTTTGATTGTGCCTGAGGTGCGCTTCCAGAAAACTACACAAGGATTGCCTAACTCTCCGGAAAGTACTTCTGTTAGAAGTGGAAAACCCAAAATTCTAAGAAGGCGCACCTTCAACTTTGAAGGCCCATAAAATCTTTCGTATGCGACATTTTGGAAATCTGTAAAAAGTTTCAGAAACTTCAAATATTTCTCTAACAAAACAGTATAAAAAGTTTAGTGATTGTCCCCTTTTTCAAAAAATTGTCCCGCGAGAGCACATTTTTGACGTTGGCCAGCCGAGTTTTCGGCTTTTCAGCGCACTAGCTTCTCTTCATTTTCAATTTCCCTGTGATGTTACTTTTTTTCATGGGGTGAAAGACAGGAGCCATAGCCGCTCTTTCTTATAAACAAAAGCCCTGAACCGTTTTTCAAAGTTCATTTTTCGAGAAAATCACACGTTCGAACATTTTGGGGGGTTTTGCCGAACACTTTTTTTGAAATCGCGAGTTTTTGGGCTTTAAGCGGGCATAACTCACTTCATTTTCATTCTGAGATGCACTTTTTTCATGGGGTGAAAGTACAGGATTTGCTCTTTCTGACAAGCACCAAACCGTTTTTCAAAAATCATTTTCCGAGAAAATCACACGTTCGAACATTTTGTTCCCATAGGTTTTTGAGCAGCACATGCGAGTTTTTGAGCTTTCAGCAATAATAACTTCCTTCAAAGAACTTGTTGGGGAGGGGCGAAGACATTTTTGAAGACTACGAGATTTCTGCTTTCTTATATGTTTTACCGTTGTCTGGAAGAATCGTCCTCAGAAAATTAGGTCCCGAAGAACTTTAATTTCAGCCCCGAGAAGTCAAACCTTTCATAGGGATGCATTCAACTGTTCTTTATTCCTCAAGGAAAACACCGTAATTTGCCTAAAACTGTCTCTCTGTGCATAATTAATCGAATCTAATGCGGTCTGCACAAACAATTCTTGCCCTCGGATACGCCACGCACGCGCCTGTGGCTGGCAGTCCTCGAAATTGCGACCCCCTTCCGACCAAAATGCGACCCCTTCGTTCGAACAGTTCGAACGGACGGTTGACCCTGCCTCGGCGTAGTCCCATATGAGGGAAGCATTCATACAGTCGGGGTAAAGCATTAAATTTCAGATGACAGTCGAAGAAAAGATGCGATGGAAAAGGGAAAAGGTGGAAAGACCAGAAGAGTTTCTTAATGAAGGCACTCTGGGTTTTTCGAATTGTTTACAGAAACGAATTTTTCTGTTCTTTTCATTCTTCGTGATTGAAGGATTTCAAACCAGTGAGTAAGCAAGAAGGCAAAAGAGAGCAGAGGTCCGGGGTCACGGGCGAGGCAGTGGTCCGGGTCACCGGCGGGTAAGGTAGTGGTAAGGGATCACGAGTGAGGTTGTAGGAT